AGTTCCTGTCTCTGCACCCTTTCCTGCATTGACAACTACCAGTTTCCAGCTTTGCTAATACAGTCGGGGGGGGGGGGGGCTCGGGGGTATTTTCATTCATTTGATTGCTACTGAGATTTAGTTCATTTGTTTTCATATACATATCAGCAATTTCTGTTTTGACATATGAATTATTTTTTAATGCCCTTTACCCTTAACCTTTGTCATATTTACGGCACATATTTTCCCCAGAATATTAATTGCCTTCTGAGAGTGTTTATAATATTTTGATGCATTTCTCTGTTGTATTAATGTAGAAAACCCTTCTCCATCCAGAAATTTGATACTCAATTTAATCTTCTTCAAGGTCTCATGGTTTGTCCTTTTTTTTTTTTTAACATTTACCTCTTTATTCCATCTGGAATTCATTTTAGGCCCCAGTGTGATCGGCGACTCTAAATTATCCTCCCCCCCTCCATACTTAGACAGCTGTCCTGCACCGTTGCTTCAGTGAGTAATGCTGCTGATTTGTGGTTCTTCAGGGACCATGCGATGAACCCTTATGGATGCCAAATTTGTTTCTAGGCTATCTGATCTAGCTGTCCATTCTTATGTCAGTTACACACCCTTTTAATTATTAAAGCTTTCGGATAGGTGAAAAGTAAGATAGCTCTTTGCAATCTTGTTTGGTTTGATTTTTAGCTATCTCCCCTGCTACTCTTTCAAGTGGCTCTTAGGATAATAATTTTCAAGTCTCCATTCCCCTTTTCCTTCCAGAAATTCCCATCGGAATATGGAGTACAAATTGGTGTTGAACCTGTGAGTCATTTCAAGGAGAATTGCCATCTTAACAATGCTGTCTACCCTCTAAGGAATACTGTGTGTTTCTTTGCTTAAGACTTTCTCTTAAATCTCTCTATTCACTTCTGCAGTTTTCTTCATGGAAATCTTGTACATTTCCTAATGTTACTTAAGAATTTATATTGCTTAACTAAATGAGCTTTTGTGCATTAAAATCTCTCACTAATTAATTCTGTCATAGAAAAGCTGTTGATTTTTATATATTAATTTTGCATTTAAATACTATTATTGCCCAGCTGGTGTGGCTCAGTGAATTGAGTATCGTCCCATGGACTGACAGACAGGTCCCAGTTCGATTCCTGGTCAGGGCACATGCACAGGTTGCAGGCTCGATCCTCAGTGTGGGATGTGCAGGAGGCAGCCGATCAATGTTTCTATCTCTCTCACTTCCTCTCACTCTAAAAAAAAAAAAAAAAAAAATCAATAAAAGAGCATTAAATACTATTATTAATTAATTAGTTCCTAAAGTCCCTTATTAATTCTAATCTTTATTAGAGAATTCTCTTGGGTTTTGCATATATGTAATCATGTTAAATCATTTTATCTCCCTCCTTCCAAGGGTCATGGATGTTTCTGCTGTTTTTTAATCAGACCTATTGAGGTACTATATTATGTTTATAGATTTCCTGATACTAAATCATCCTTGCCTTTGCTGGGAAAAAATCTACTTGGTTATAGTGGATCTATTTGTGGGTATTTCATTTAGAACTTTCATATCTATTCACATTAGAGAAATTAGCCATAGATTTCCTTATTTGTAATTTATATCATTATGAGAGTTTGGTAATGGGAACTGGGAAGACTTATCCTTGTCTGTGTTCTGGATCAGTTTACAGAGCAGAGCACTTATCTAATTTTTTAAAGTTTAAATCCACTTACCTAAAAAAATCATAAGTGTGGAGACCTCTTAATTCTTTCAGGACTTTCATTTTGGTTTATGATCTTTAGGCTTTTCTGGCTCTTTATTTCTTTTTTTAGTAAGGTTTGGTATATTTATTTTTTTAATCACCTATTTCATCATTTTTTCCCAAAACTGTCAGCACAGAGTTACAGTTTTTATTATGCTTTTTATCTATTCCATATCTGTTTTCATATTTTGTTGTTATTTCTAATTTTATTTTTATTTCTTGATTTTTTTATATAATTTTTTTCTCTATTTTCTAATTAATTAATTTTTGGCTTTATCTGTAGTATATGCTGAATTCAATAATATATTTTACTTCACCCACTACATCCCACATTTCAACATGTAATCAATATTTTAAAAATATGAGAAATACTCCATTCTTTTTTTACACTAAGTCTTCAAACACGAGTGTCTGTGTCACACCTCCCAGCACATCTCGGTTTGGATGCCACGTTCTGAGTGCTCGTCATCCACGTGGCCATTAGCTGTCGTGTTGGACGCATGGGTTTAAATGATGTATTTGCTTCCCTTTTCAATAGCCAGCATAGTTAAGATACAGATTTACCTGTGTAAGTTTACCTTTTAGCTTTGACTACATCCCACCAGTTTTTTTTTCCTTTTTTTTTCTTTTTATTGAATGTATTGGGGTGACATTGGTATCCCATGCGGTTTTATAGCTCTTTATTTCCTAAATAATCTATTATCATATATTTGATTGCATCCTATTCCACCTTTCTTTAGGAGAATACCTTTTTTAAAAAAAAATTTTTTTCTTATTGATTTTAGAGAGAAAGGAAGGGAGAGAGAGAGAGATAGAAACATTGATGAGAGAGAGGATCAGTTGGCTGCCTCCTGCATGCCCCCCACTGAGGATTTGGCCCACAACCTGGGCCTGTGTTCTGACCAGGAATCGAACTGGCGACCTCTAGGTGCATGATTCAAAGCTCAACCACTGAGCCACACTGGCCAGGCAGGAGAACATCTTTTAAACATCCAAGTAATGGGCTATTTTTTTAATTATTATTGTTCTTAATTCTTGGTCCAAGTATATAACCTGTAAAATTTCTGGGTTTTCAAATTATAGTGGAACCACAACTTACATTGAGGCTGGTTTCAATGTAGTCTTATTAATTACATTCTTTAAATTATCCAAGTAATTAAATTTTGTTAATGTAATCATTTATGGAGTAGTAGTAGTCTTATTTTTTGATAAGTGTATTTTGAGTCTATGGTTTTCAGTGAGTGATGTTTTATGTTAACTATTATAAGTTATATTTTTATTAATATAAATAACGTTTTTGTTTTATTTAATGATTATAATCTTGAAAACTACTTTGATTTTACTAGTGCTTTAATTGCAGTTTGTCCCCAGCCCTGGTTGGGTCGTGTGGGTGGCAGCCATTCGATGTGTCCCTTTCACATCGATGTCTCTCTCTCTCTTCCTCCCACTCTATCTGAACAAAAAATGGAAAAATGTCCTTGGGTGAGGATAAAAAAATAAAAAAAAAGAAGGTTTCTAAAAAAATTTTAAATCCTCAGCCAAGTATATGTTTCTATTGATTTTTAGAGAGGGGAAGAGAGAGAGAAACATTGATGAAAGAGAGAAACATCCATCAGTTGCCTCCTATACACACCCAACTGAGCCACCAACCAGGGTTCAAGAAGGTTTCTAAAATTTTAAATTATTTTTAATGGTGGTAAAAAGAAAAAAAACACATGACATAAAATATACCACATCTCAACCATTTATATGTGTACAGTTTACTTGTGTTAAGTATGAGTCGCATTGCTATGCCACCCATCTTCAAAACTTTTTCATCTTGCCAAAAACTGAAACTTGAACCCATTAAGCAACTCTCCATTGCCCACTGTCCCCAGCCTCTGGCACCCATCATTCTACTCTATGTTTCTATTATTTTAACTACTATAGATACCTACTGGAGTATGCAATGTTTGTCCTTTTGTGACTGGCTTACTCACTGAGCATAATGTCCTCATGGTTCACCCATATTGTAGCAGGTGTCAGTATTTCCTTCCTTTTTAAGGCTGAATAATATTCCATTGTATGCACAGACCACTTTTATCATTCATCCATTGACAGACACTGGGGTTGCTTCCACCTCTTGGCTCTTGTCAATAGTGCAGCCATGGACAGGAGTGTGCAAATATCTCAAGATCCTGCTTTCAGTTCTTCTGGATATATACACAGAAATGGAATTGTTGGATCATATTGTGATTATATTTTTAATTTTTGAGAGATTACCATACTGTTTTCCATGGCGGCTGTACCATTTAGCTTGTTTGTTCGTTTGTTTTCAAGACAAGCATGTGGGTGGGATTTTTTAAAACATTTGCTTATGTAAGATTCTTTCTCTCGCTTCCACTCATAGAGTGTGTTCTTTTATCCTCCAGCATATGAAGATGTTGGCTCGGTGTCTCTGCATTTTAACATCAAATATAGAATTAAAAGGCCGACAATATTGTTGTTCCTTTATAATAAATCTAGGGTTTGTTTTTTGTTTTTTTTTTCCTTCACAAATAATTTTTTCTTCTCTTTGAAATTAAAATGAAAATTATCTTGCTTAGTGTATGTGAGCTCCCAACGTCTCTCTACCTGGACCCCCAGTGGCTTTTAATACCTTCTCTTAGGTCATAGCTATGACTTGACATGTCTTATCTTAGCCTTAATGCAATGGCTGACTCTCAATAGGACAAACGATACTTTTGAGAATGAATGAATGAATGAATGAATGATGTTTTCACTATCCTCTAGGCCCCTTCCTTGCAGGCAGGGGCTGTAGTTGTGTCTCTACCCCAGTGCTGGGCCTCAGTGGACCACTGCCACCTACACTTGGCAGTGTTGTGGTTACCCTCTCTCACGTGGAGGGCGTGATTTGGAGGTTAGCAAAGAGAGAGCATTTAAGCAGAGGGAGTTGAATGGGGAGGTGATGACTCTGGGGAAGGTGTCATCCACTTCAGGATTGGGGTCAGTGAGTGAAGGCTGAGGGACCCCCCAGTCTGGGGACACTGAAGAACAAGTGCTCTGGCCAAAGGTCACCGTGGTCCTACAGCCCACAGTGAGCCCCAACATTCATGCTCTAGTCAGGGGTCACCCATCCCCCTCCTCCTTGAAAACACGGGGTTTACCAGTTAACCCCGGATCGGCCCTTAGCCGGTATGCACTGCAGCAGAGCTGGTGGTGCCCGGCCCCTCTCCAGCCCCGGAGGCTGACACGTCTCTTGTTCCTCCGCAGAAGGACTTCACGGTGCGGGAGGAGCTGCAGCAGCAGGACGTGGAGCGCTGGCTGGGCTTCATCACCTTCCTGTGCGAGGTGTTCGGCACCATGCGCAGCAGCACGGGCGAGCCCTTCCGCGTGCTCGTCTGCCCCATCTACACCTGCCTCAGGGAGGTAAGACACCTGCCTGGCCTGCGGCCGGCCTGCGGGGCGAGCTCGCCCAGGGCACCAGGAAAGCTGTGCGGGGTACCAGTTCCAAAGGGATTGTGCTTGGGAAAGAGAAGGGTCCCCCTCCCCACTTCTGCGTACTGAAGCCAGGTGTTTACTTATTTACATAAAAAGTTTGCATAAGAAGGCATTATTAATTCATAATCTAGGGCACGGCCTGCAGTACGTATTATTTGCATGAATAGATCTTGGGATGGTTTACCATGGAATTACTATTTAAAAAAAAAAAAAAAAAGATTTGCTTTTGAAAAAGAATAAATAAGAACAACCAAGAAACGTTTGAGAAGCAAGAAGTCGGTGGGTGACTTTCCCTGCCAGGCATCATAACCCACTTTGGAAGGTCAGCCTGGCTGCTCCCATGCACCCAGGCGGACGGGGCAGATGTGGAAGCTGGGAGCTTAGCGGGGCTGTTGGTGTCCTCCAGGCTGGTGGCTGGGCACACGGCTGAGAAAGTGAGAACGGGGGGCGGCTTCTTTCCAGTTATATTTTGAGTTAGTACCAACAGAACCTGCTGACGTGAGCTAGAGCGAGGGGAGACGGGTGTCTGCTCCTGTCCACCAGCCTGGTGGCAGCGCTGTCTGGGGTGGGGAGTCTGGAGGAGAAGAGAGCGGGAGTGAAAAGCAGGCGTCGGCGTTTGAGTCGGGGTGACCTGCTGGTCCTCGCAGGGAGTTGTCACATAGTTGCTCAGGTAGAAGTGTGTGGAGATCAGGAAGAGGTCATCCTGGGGACACGGACTGAGCGCTGTAGGAAGTGTTGATATGTGTCTGGTGCTCAGGCTGGGGACCAGATGGGGTCATCCAGGGAGAGTGTGCAGATGGAGGGAGGACAGGAGCCAGCGAGGAGGCGGTGGAGGAGTGACCGGAGGCAGGAGGCGTGGGTCAGGGAAGGTTCCAGGAGCGTATGAGAATCATCACAGTACTCCCTCCTGGGCATGGGGCTCAGCCCACTTCACACGTGCTGTACCCTCCACCCCAGCAGCAGGTCCCAGGACCTAAAGAGGAACCGATAAAACCAGGACAGAAAAGTGGCCTGGGTCTAGCAACAAGGAGGTCAGGGGGCCGTGGTGTCAGTGGACTGAGCACGGGCCACACCGGGCCACACTCAGGAGTTGGTGGGGGTGAGGACCTAAGCTGGACCGGTCTTCGGAGAAGTGTTTCTGTAAAAGGGAACTTGTCAGCTAAAGGGGAGGTGTGGGGTCAAAGGGCAGTTTTGTGTTTTGGGAAGAAAGGTAGTAGAGCAATTTAAAAGAAAGGAGGGGTGTCTGCAGCTGTTTCTGAAGCATCCTTTTAGAGGGAAACAGGGTGCCCATTCCAGACCATGGATCCCAGGAAGCAGAGCACACAGGCTCCCCTGGGCGCCCCTGAAACCCGAAGCCTCTGCCACCCCACAGGGCCAAACATTTTCTTAGCAAATGCACTTGAATTCTGACTTGTTTCTCAGATTCAGACAATGACCTCTCCCAACTTTATTTCCCTCTCAAAGTGTCTTAGGCTCAGAATGCAGCACCAGGAGAGGCTGTAGTTTCGCTTTTTGTATCCCTTTGGGGATGCTTTGAAGGCCACCCTCTTGGAGGCAGGAGGCTGGCCCAGAAGGCCTCCTGAGGTCCTCCCATCCCTGCCTGAGTGCCGTGAGCCCCTGACAACCCATCTTAAGTCAGAAAGCAGCTCTTTCTAGGGCAGTGACTTGGATTGTCCCAACACGTTCCCTCTGTGTGATCTGGGCACCTCCTGGTGTCGAGCAGGGAGCAGGGCTGAGCACTGGCCCTGGCTATCGGGACACTTCTAACACCACCTGAGGCAGCACAGATGTTCTGGGGTAAGATCGGGAAGGTGCCAGGAGGTCTGCACAGACAAGAAACAGACCCTCCTCCAGTGCCTGCTTGTTTGATGCGTTAAATTCTGGGACGGTGTCGCAAACACAAACTTCTGCCATACTCATGGTAACCTGGAAGGGTAGATGAATCATCTGTGGCTTCCACCATTTCTTAAAAGAGGAAACCAGAGCTCATGTTCCACGCCATCTGCTTGAGGCCCCATGGTGAGGTGGTTCAAGAGCGTCAGCCGTGGGTTCAAATCCTGCCTCTTCCTTTATCTAGCTGTGCTGTCTTGAGGAAGAGTTTGCCTGCTCTGAGCCTCAGTTCCTCATTGGTAAAGAGGGATCATGCTGCGTGGTCTGCAGGGTTTGGAAGGAGGAAGACCGTGGTGTGGAGAGGGTGCTGTGTGCACTGGGGCAGTTGGAATTAGGAAGGAAATGCCCAGGGGACTTGCTCTAGGGCTGGGTGGCTCTCTGAGAGCTGGTTGTCTCCCAGTCTGACTTGGGGCCTGGGCACATGCCCAATCTTAAAGGAGCTTGGGGGCTGAATGCCCTTCCAGGGACATAACCAGTCTATGCTGGACCTGGCCTGGGGCTCCTGAATTCCCAGCCCTGGGCTCTTTCTAATGGAGAACTCAACTTCCCTAAAAGGACCTTCAGAAAAGGTTGAGACAGAAAGGTGTGCCCTGGGATCTTATCAGTCCCTTAGGAAAACCTATGACTTTCCCAGAAATCAGGAGACAGACACCTGAATGATTCGTCAGTTGCTGCCTCCCCTGCCTTATCGCGTACGCATACTCATACCGGGTCCTGACCCAAAGCAGGTTGAGCCAGCTCAAAGAAGTTTCTAGAAGCCAAAGGCACTGCTGCTGCCTCTCTCCTTGATGGAAAAATTTAGGCTTTCCCCCTGGAGCTATGCAGGTGGCTGGCCCCAAATCAGCAGGGCCCGCCCTGTCCTGGGGTCCTCTCAACTCCCAGAACCAACCCCAGGCCACCGTTCCAGCTGTCCACTAAATAGCATCCAGGTCACGCCCCAAGCCCCTTCAACAAGATGTGCCTGGAGCTGCACCCCAAAGTCCTGCTTAGTCCAAGTCCTCTTGTGGCCCAAATGCCCCTCCCTGCCTCCTGGCAGCCAGGGCACTCCATCCTTACAGCTCCTTCCTGTCACGTACCCTCTAGTAAGTAGTGTTTCGTGCCGGTAGCTGCACAGTGATGGCATTGTCCATAGCATGTCGTGCATTCTCTCCTCTCTTAACTCAGGCAACACCCTGAACATGATCGTCCCCATTTTCCAGAGAACAAAGAGGTCAGGCAGCTTGCTCAGGGCCACACAGCAGCAGGCAGCAGGCAGTGTGGAAGCCAGTCTGGGCGCCAGAGTCCCTGCTCCTACCTGCCCTGCTTCCCTGCCCGGTGAGCAAAGCAGCAGCTCCTCTCACCGTTTAGTCCACAGCCCGCGCCTGCTCCACAGCACAGGCCAAATCGATCTCTGTGGGATCGATGGTTTTTGCCATAAATAGCATTTGCCAATCAGAGAGCCTTCTTCGAGGGACAGAGAGGAATACTTTTCAATGAGTCCTGTTGTTTAAGAGCCAGTGGTTTCTGCCAAGATGGTTTCGAAGTGATTGAAGGTGTCATTGACCCAAAGATGCGTGGGTCTCCTTGCCCTCCTGCTCACAACTCCTATTTGCCTCGTGAACTCTTCTTAATGTTTGTAATTTTTATTGTGATAAGAACACTTCACATATGATCCAGCCTCTTGACAGATGAAGTGTATAAAACAGGGTTGTTATCTATAGGCACACTGTTGTACAGATCTCTAGAACTCACTCATCTGGCATAACTGAAATTTTGTACCAGGCGTTAGCCATTTCCCACTTCCCCCTGCCACCGAACCTCTGGCAACCACCATCTTATTCTTTGTTTCTGTGAGTCTGACTGTTTTAGATACCTCATTTAAGTGGAATCAAACGGTATTTGTCCTGTGACTGGCTTATTTCACTTAGCACCGTGTCTTGCATGTTCATCCGTGTTGTTGCATATTGCAGAATGTCCTTCTTCAAAAGGCTGAAGAGTATCCCATTGTATATATATATATAGCACATTTTAATCCATTTATTTGTCACTGAGCTTGTTTCCAGATCTTGGCTACTCTGAATAACGCTGCAATGAACATGAGAGTGCTAACACGTCTTCAGGATCTTGATTTCGATTCTTCTGAATAAATACACAGAAGCGAGATTGCTGGAGCCTATGGTAGTTCTATTTTTAATTGTTTGAGGAACCCTCCCTACTGTTTTTCATAGCAGCTGTACCATTTTGCATTCCCACTAACAATGTGTAAGAGTTCTAATTTCTCCACATCTTTCTAACACTTGTTGTCATATATATATCTGACATCCTCACAAGTTTGAGGTGATATCTCATGGTTTGATTTGTATTTCCCTGATGATTAGTGACATTGAGCATATTTTCATAGACCTGTTGGCTGTTTGTATGTCTCCTTTGGAAAAATGTCGATTCAAGTCCTTAGCCCACTTTTTAAATCTGGTTATTAGGTTTTTTATTGCTATAGGGTTGTAGGTGTTTCTTATCTATTTTGAGAATTAGCCCCTTATCAGATACATAGTTTGTAAATATTTTTCCCTATTCTGTAGGTTGTGTTTCTACTCTATTGATTATTTCCTTTGCTAGGCAGAAGCGTTTGAGTTTGATGTAGTCCCACTTGTCTAGTTTTGCTTTTGTGTTTTGGGTGTCATAGCCATGAAGTCACTGCCAAGACCAATGTCATAAAGCTTTTCTCCTGTTTTCTTCGAGGAGCTACAGTTTCAGGTCTTATGTGAAGTGTTTAATCCCTTTGGAGTTGATGTTTGTGTGTCACGTAAGAGTTGGATTTTGTTCTTTTGCATATGGATATCCAATCTTCCCAGCACCGTTTGTTGAAGAGACTCTCCTTTCTCCATCATAGTTGTTTTGGGGTGGTTTTTTTTTTTTTTTTTGGTACCTTTTCAAAGATCAGTTGACCATATATACATGGATTTATTTCTGGACTCTCAACTCTGTCCCATTGGTCTATATGTCCATTTTAATTACTATAGCTTTATAATATATTTTGAAATTAGGAAGTGTGATGCATC